CTCAGTTACAACAGGGATACGTACACGCATTCGACACTCCACAGCACGCCGAAGTGAGACATTGAAGGAGCTCGGCCAACTGTCATAGTAAAAGGAAAATGTGTCATTCTTGATCGACGCTACCACTGTACTCGAGGCCATCAAAGAACATGCCATTGCTGGCAACTGCCCACGAATTCAGATTGGGAGGCCTTCGAGTCGACACAGGGGCGGCGAACGCTGACCGACACCAAATCCTCCGTCGCAACCACCGGTTTTTGAAGTCAAGCATCTGTTCCCTTGACATTTCGTTGCCGTAGCGTGAAGTTATCTGAGCATGGACAATTAGATGAGCTGGTTTCTCGACAGTCTCAGGAGCCTACCCGCCACCTCTACGACTATCGTGCGCATTTCGAGCTAGATCAAGTACGCGCCGCATGAAATCGCCGTTGGACAAGTACTGTACAGTCGTGATGCGGGGGCGGTGATACAGGCGTGGGCTTTGCTTGAAGGAAGCGCAATCACGCCGAACGTGACCCTTCCTTGTGGACCTCAAATGGTTTAATGTTTGTTCAGATGCGTAAATAATTCAGGCGATGCCGCGTCTGTATTTCTACCCTGTTTTCACGGAAGCTGCGGTACGCCGGGTCCAGATGTCTGTCCTAAGCGACGTTCTTTTTGTTACATGAACAGCCAAATGTCAGGTTGAATCAACGCCGAAAACAAATAACGGTGTCTTGGGACCCTCGGCGTAGAACTAAGAACAAGAACACCGTTTGTCATACAGGGTCGAACGTCTTTGTTAGATGAAGACCCTGCTCTTCAGTGCCAGGTTGAATCCACGCGGTATAAACAAACGGTGTCCAGGGGCCTCGGCGTAGAAAAAAGAACAAGAACCAGTTCATCAGACAGATATGCCTGCTCAAGGTGCTCCGCTTGAGGCAGCTCGATATGCATCGAGCCTCAGCCACAATAAGCGGTTCTTAGGTGCGGGCTCCATCTGAAGTTGAAGTTCGGTGTTTTGAGTCACGTGTTGTTTTTTTTACCGATCAGTCCCTGAAGGAGGTTCCATAGCTTTCTGACAATGTTTTATGCTCAAGGTTTGGTGCCGTGGGGTATCATGCGCGTAGGTTTTTTTTTTGTTTTGACCCTTGAATACCTACGTCAGAAGGCGGCTGGTTCAAGTATGGGGGTGGATTGCGTGCCCGTGGCTTGGTTTCTCAGCGAAAAGAAAACATCAGCAGCAATGCCGGTAGGTCTACGCAGCGTCTGTTTGGTACCAGGCATGATGCCTTCGGGTATCGTCGAGAGTGTAGCGAAAATGGTCGAGAAAACCCTTTCCACGCGCTCTTTGGGTGTGGTTTCATCGCCGTATGGTATGAAGCGGTGTGCCTGCTTCTCGCCGTCTCTTCAAACATCTAGTATCAAGAGCCTTCCCCTTCCGCCCGTCCTGGAAAAAAAGTTTCGTCGTCCCATAGAGAGCGTGCACCAATTGTTCCATTGACAAACGATCATGACCAAATGTAGTGCAATTTCCTGCTCCTTTAAAACAAGCGGTGTAAAATCACGATAGTATGGCACGTTGCAACTCTTCTCGGCCATTCTGGTTAGACTACTGCAGACATTCGGATGACAGGCCAATCCGCATTTTTCTGTTTGAAAAAAGGATAAGACGCAACGCATCCGCGACAACCCACCTCTACCGCAAGCTCTCTGAAGAAATCAACGGATCGTAGTACTTCGTATTGCGCTTCGACCGACGGCCTACCGCACAATCAATGCCCTGCTCATATCCGCGTCTCACGAGAACAGGACACCACGGAGTATCTTTTGTACTGCATGCGTTCACTGGCTGCAACATCTACCCCAGCTCTACCAAAGCATGTAGTTCGGGCTTAGAAAAACAATGTGTCGGCGTTGACACTGTCCTTCCCAAGCACTTTCATGCCAAAATTTGCATTGCTACAGGTACTCATATATTTTAATTATATCCCTTTACACACGTACAGGTGTATTATATTCCTCGATATATCCGATGACCCCGGATATTTTATGTCGATGTATATATCGAATGTTTCCTGACATAATATCAATTTCCTGATACCTCTAGAACAGCGTTTTTGCTGTACAAGTGCGCTACACTGTTAGCCATCCACGTTCGTACGCCCACCGGAATGTTACCCGAATCATTGCTTGCCCTCGCTACCCTCGTCAGACGCAGCAAGGGGAGAAAGAAAACGGACGACATCAGGATGTGGGGAAGAGTCTGGATCATGCCGCTGTTGACAGTGTTCGTGGTCATCTTCAGCGCGTCACTCGCCTCCGGTCGAGCTTGCGAGTGTGATGGACCTACAATGTCTGAGCCGAGTTCCGAATCGATCAATGTGCTGGATTGCGGCGCGACCATTGAGGGTGAAGCGATATGCGGCGATGCAGGCAACATGGTCTGCGTATGCGACTACAGCATTTCGATTGATGTGGACATGCTCGCCTTCCTCGCCGGCACCGTCGACTCGCCCACCATAACGTGGTGGTGCGATCACAATGGCGGCGATGGCTACTGCACAAGTGAGGATATATTATCTGCAACACACGACACCGACCACTCAATGCAAAACGTCTTCGATGAATGAATGCGCAAGCGCTTGACAAGAATTGTCTGCTTTTATCGTCAAGTAGATCGATTCAATACTCTTCTAGTACCGTCCTTGCTACCCTTTACACATCCGTACTTTGGGAACCACCTTCGATGACCACATCTTGAGCTATAAAACTCCAACCCTAACCCTACCACTTTGAAAAACGTTCGACTCGCACTGCATGAAGCCATCATCTCAAGTCACGTTTTGGGTTGCGCGCCGATGATGGTATACTGGGTATAGGTCAAGTCGTGTGCAAAGATACGCCGCACGTCAGCTGCTAGTTGTTCTACCGATTGAACCGCAGCCCTAATATTCTGTAGGCTATATCTCGAAGTCTTCACAACTAACCCCCTGGATCGGGCGTTTTTTTTTCGGCTCGCGATTTTATACGCCTCGCTATTTCCGAGTTGATGAGGGGGTGAACGACATCATCTCGCTTTTTGCGATTTTGCCTTTTCTTCCTGTCGGTGAAGCATATATGTTGAGGTGTACATTCTATCGTGGACCCCGGGAAAAAGGGAACGCCGTCGTCTCGAGGCCTTGAACGAAGCCCCTCGTCGAAAACGTGCCCCGAAGACGCACGACTGGTGCTTGTGTCTTGAAATGAAAGCTGCTGAAGACGGCTGCATCACGTTCGCACCTGTGTGAAGATAGGCTAGGCTGTCCTATTCTCCGCAGTTTGCTAGCCTTGACAATACCCCAAGCACTCAACGCTTTATTGTTGCCGATACTTACACCAAGCAAACCGCAAGGCAGTACTTGGTGTGTCGCCGTCTTGGTTGTGTTTTGGCTCCCCAGTGCCCTTCACATGAAAAACTTCATTCATTACATTATAAGCAGTTGTTAATTGTGGAGATTCACAAACGGCGTGTGTGATTGATGTTACATGAGTCGTTATAAAGAACATGTGAAGGAATTGAAACGCGTCAAGTACGGATCGGGGTCAATGACTGGACATGATTCTGACGTTAAGACGAGAAGATGCCGACATGAAAGGTTGAACATCATATTTCTGTGTCGTTGCAACTATTTCATACGACTCCCATGTGGACAACGCCCGCTTTGCGAGGCACTGAAGCACAAACACGTCGTATTTTTTGTGCGCCATTTGTCGAGAACTTCCCGTCCCTTTTGCCCCGGCCCCACGCAAACGGTTGTATTCGTCTGAATGATACCCTCACATCAAAAAGGGCACAAGCGCTTCCCCCATATGGGAGCGAGACCCTCTTCCTCGAATAGTTTTATCACAACAGTCGACAGATAAGCGTGGAATCAAAGCTGAAAGCGCAACCCGTTCACCCTGTGTGCAATGGGGTTTTTTGTTTTCACTCCCAGGCGGTACACCAAGTTGCCCAATCAATGCCTTACGGTATTCATGCAATGTTTGGACTTGCAGCGAGAAAGCAAACGACAAAGAGAAAATAGTTCAATTTATTTGCAGGCTAAACAGGCATTCGTACACTATAAGCCCTTTCGACACATACCGAGACCAAGGAAAAGCAAGTGTATCCCATGGAACGGTGTGTACATAAACATTTGACAGCGATCGCAGAATCGTGTCGCGACACTGATGCTCTCTGGCATTTTGCGGAGGCTTTCCTCATGGGAATACCAGTGTTTTTCGTGAGTTGGTAGTTAATTTATCCCTCTTTGTTTTGTGATTTAAGAAAAAACGCATCTGTTTCGACTTTTTCCCGCCATCATGCCCCCGCCAACTAATATCTTTTTTCCGTTTTTGCTCCTTGACTCTCCCCCTATCTCTGGTGATACCCTCGGTGTCTACGCGAACAGATTGCTCGGAAACGTCCCCATGCACTGGGGAAGGTGAAATCTGTTGTCCGGAGACTGGCCTTTGCTCGGTTCCCGACTCCACCGGCGCTTGCGGTGAGAACATCCGATGCACGAACTGGAAACCTTCCACATGAACACGCCAGGGTAGCCATGGCTATTGCTCGTCGTGGTTGAGAAGGACAAACAATTTTCGCCGATGCACGACAGTTTTTATCCAAATCGGAGTCCCGCCTGTGCTCTATCAACAGTTATTCCGTAGACGTAACCGACTCGTGTCCCGCCTTCTTACGTTGTCACGCAAATCTAACAAGGAAGCAAACTGAGTTGGGTACAACCACGTTGGTCAGTCGCGGATGAACGTGCTGCGTGTAGCAGTGATTCAACGAGACTGATTCTCACCCTTTTTCTCGTACCCAGGTGATCCGCACATGACCGGCTTCCTTGGCCAAAAGTTCGATTTCGTTGGGCGGGACAGTGAATGGTACGCCGTCGTTTCGGATATGCCCGGTCTTGAGGTCAACATGCGCGTGACGTCCCCCGTTCCTGCCGAGCCCGAGATCACCTACATCACCGGACTCGGTATCAAGACCGTCGACACCGAGGGATTGGACCACTCCATTGTCATCACGGTCACGGACCCCCACAGCCTGGACAGCGCCTGTCCCGTGGAAGGCTCAACTTGTCTGGCGGACGGCGCTCTTACTGTTGAACTCGATGGTGAAGTCGCTCTTTTGTCTCCTGGAGAGGTCGAGCTCGGCCCCAACGTGGCAATCTCTGCGGTCAACCTTCCGGGCGCTTGCAGGTGAATCTGAACCCTAAGTCAATCTGGTCATGAAGCCCGTCCCACTCTGACGTGAGTCTGTACCCGTCGACAATGTCTGAAACACACTGCAGGCGAAAAAACCGGGCGAAGAGGAGCAGCTTGTCGTCAATGCCAAGAGTCAAGCGTTGTGTAACCTCTTTGTCGATAATGTCGCGTTCGTGGATCCGTTCAGGTCTTTCGGGTTCGAGGAGTACTGGGAGCGCAAGAAAGCAGAGTACACGGCCAGCGGCCGGAGGCTCAACAACTTCTCGCAAATGCAGGAGATGTCGGACTGGATCCTTGGTGACCCTACCGCGACCAACATGGCCGAGTGCACGGAATACGTGTTGGGTGCGACGGTCGACGGCGAGGCTGGATTGCTCGGGCATGATTCGGAACACACGTCATTCCAAATCTTGACTCCCAAGGGAAGCATCCGCCTCACCCACGGCCGCCTCCACCAGCTTGCCATGCGTGACCCGACGGACAGGTTCGATATTCCGGATCACCTCACCTGGCAGATGAACCTCGCCTTTGACAACATTGACCTGGCTCTGGACGCTACGGGTATCCTCGGCGAGACGCAGCAGCACACTCTCGACGCCAACGGCAACCCTATCATGGAGGGGATGGCTGCTATCCGTGGGTCGCAGGAAGACTGTGAGTACAATGGTCTCGGGGATGGTTTTGCGGCTCGGTTCCGGAACGATAACGGAGTGTCAGTTGGCGGGAACAGTCGGAAGCATAGCACTGTGTTTGATATGTTGGCGTGGAATTTACACGAAATATGCATGGATGCGGCGGGGGTCACCTGTCTTGGGTAACTCGTGTTTCTTTCGCTCTGTCGTCCCTTTCTGGCTTGAACTTTCGGTGACAAGGCTTATTGTCGGTGCTCGAAGGAACTCATTGTTTCTAACTGCCTTCGCTTAATCATGTCACGCGGGCAACAAGAAGTTTCCCTGTTGCTTGTTTTCGATGAAACGCTCACACATTTTTTGACATGTCTTCCACCGAATGTCTACATTCTACTACATGTATCGATTCGAAACCCACGCAGACCTTGTCGAGGGCCCCCTGGACACCGTGTTCGCCGCAGCCGGCAACCACCCCTAGGTTACCGTCAACCTTACTCAACGGGACTGGGTCAAACGAACGTCCACAACTATGTGACAATTTGTCGACGTTGTTGTTTCTTCTCGGTTCCCTTAATTTGTAATCTCGGAGTGTTGTAATTGTTGGTTCCTCGGCGTGGTTGTAAGCCGGTCGTGTGGAATTCGTTGGTGCACGTTTTTTACTTATCATTCGATGCCATGCTTCGTGAAAAGAGAGCGGTTGGTCGCCATTCAATGTGGCCTTTCTCAGCTTTCACACGCTGGCATTGTGCTTGGTGCTGGTGCTGTTCCGCTGGCGGGTCGTTCTAAGATGATAGTCATAATCATTAGAGCTGTAGACTCCCAAGCGGGAAATAGTAGCTGTAATGGTGTGGAGGTCATTTCGAGGCGAACGGAGATGGCGGTCAAGAGGTATCCTGCAGAACCGGTCGACGCCACCGCCCAATATGCGCTTGGCTCCGGAAGATTCGTGCGCGTTATTTATGTTGTACTGCTACGTAGATATACCAAGGTTAGGGTTTTGATTCAGCGCTGACGACAAAGGACAAGTATCCGGTGTGTTGCTTTCACCCACATGCATTTTTGGTGCGGTGATCAAGATGAAGGGCTCATTGATGTTGGGCTTCTTCAATTGTTTCCGCTCGTTGAAAAGGGAGACCGTTGTTTAAGAGTGTTCCGTTTTTGCGGGTTGCTGCCGATAGCGCGGTGTTTTGTGGAATTCTCGCGGTACATCTTTCTTCTCGAGGAAGTTTCGATGCCTCTTGTGCTTGATCATTGATGCATCCGCCCCTGTGACCGTGACACTATCGGACAACAACGGGAGTACTGTTCCACTCGCACTTGGTTGTGCTCCCATGCTTGCGTTCGTTTGAGGTGTCTCGTGAGACCACGTTTCACCTTGATTTCGCAGGGTAGGTCGAGTTGCCGCTCGGGTGTCGGATTATGAGGGCCAGTCGCAGGATGTTTCTGCTCCCCATTGGTGGAAAACGACCAAGTAGAAAACCTTCGTCTAAAGATGGTGTTCTAATGACGAGCTTTGCACTGCACCAGGAAGCCCGAGTTTTATTCGTCTGGCTCCTCTCCGGGCGGTGGTCGCGGAGCGTACGTCTCTGTCTTTGGTTTCAAAATATATATATTGGTGAAGCCTCCGCTCGGCATTTGGCCAGACACTTCCCCGCTCCAAGTTCGGCACAGATTATTTGTTATCTCGACGCATCGACCACGGATTGGAGAGGTAGCAGTTGGGACAGGTCGGCGGCGAAATGTTTCTTGTTGAGGCATGTCTAGGTTGCAGCTTGTTGCCTAAATGGTGAAATGGGATCCAGTACGCTGAGATGCTTGTCGAGCCTGGCCATTCTCACAAACAGACAGAGAGACGGACGTCCGTAGTGTAATCATTTAGCCTCCTCTCCCATTTTTTTATTAAGTTTAGCGCAAACCTACCAAACATTTTTTGTACTAAAAGAAGAATCACCCCACTGGGCGGCTTCTTGCAAAAAGAAACAAAGCAGGTTCTCACGTGTGTTTCACACAGGGGATCTGGGGTGACTACGGTGCGGTTCACAGGCATTTGAGTGCTGTATCCGCAACCAAGAGTGTCCCCGTTTACGGGGGTTCCAGTCCTGAAGCTTTTAACTTCAGTTTCATCGTTCAATAGCCGTGTGTGAGGGAACTTCATTCGCATCCTCCACCCTTCGCCCGACCCGGCCCGAAATAAATGCAAATATCGACCTACAGTTGAAAATCTGGCGGATTCATATGTATGGTTCGGTGAGGAATCAATCGCAGATCATCACCCCTCCCCGAGTTTGTGGAACTTCCGCCTCCTGTGGCCGACAAGAGGCGGCGTTGTCCATGTCGCCACCCGAACGGGGTGGTTGAACAGACAATAGAGGGTTCGTGCGGTGCATTGTATCTTTTTTAAGTTTCTTTCTCTTGTTGAGGGAGCGGGGCTTCCCACCTTCTTGGTGGTTTGTATCGCTCAGGCTGCTGTTGTGACGCATCACATCGGGCATCTGGGAGGTGTACTATCTCTCTGCCTGCAAGGGTTGGACGCCCGTACGGTTCCCTAACGTGCAACAATCATCGTTGCTCTCGCACGACGTAGCACGACGTATGCATATATGTCCGGTTAAACAGTTAGCGCCCGCGATTAAGTCATTTATTTAAGTGGCAAAGGCTCAAACATCCACGAAAAACAAGAAAATAGCACAGGTCAACCTGGGCCACAATATAAGAAACGTCTCAGTAAGAAATCAGTAGCACCGCTACCCTACTGTTATGGGGGAACAGAGAAATAAAAGAGGGAAGGGAGCAAGTTCGTTGCCCCTGGCTTCGGGTACTCACAGTTGTTGTTTGATCTCTTGTTTTAGCCTTCTTAGACCAGGTCCGCTCAGCGCCCACTCGGAGAGTGAGTTAGCGGGGCTGGGAGATTGATCTTCCTTCAAGCTACTTCAATACCCCACAACGTCGCCAAATATCCATATCCAAAGGAAATTCAAAATATCCAATAAGCGCTCATACAACGTTCATGAAACGCTCGTACAATGCTCATACACTATAAATAGTTGCTCCAATTACATTAGCCCACCCTGGGAAGTCGTAGATGCAAATACTTTATCTTCAATCCAATACTCAACCCCAAATAAAGATCGAAGATGCGACTTTCCAAATCAGACAAAAATAAGATAAAATAAAAGCAACTACAGTAGGGTCGGAGAAAATAGTTTATCCCCGACCAATACTCCAAACCATCCCCACACCACACAGTGATGACTACTGAGAATCACATCGCCAACGACGGAACCAGCCTGAATCAAAACGGGGTTCGGTCGCGTTGGGCACGCAAAGGTCGGGGTGACTATTGCAACATTAGAAGAAGCTCACACCACCCAAACACGCGCTAGCGTACCACTGCGTACGACGTACAGAACAAAACATAAAAAAACATGTAGCGGCCCGTAGGCGGCATGATATCAAAGCACAAATCCAGATGGGGCAACAGCCAGCTGTGCCACAACGCCTGGTGTTCGCGACGTAACACCATCATCCGTGGAAGGGTTGATCAAACCACGAGTGCGGTGTTTTTGCAAGCACCAAGAACCGCAAGGAGCATCCAAAACCGTGGAGTAACTATACTCCGGGAGAGAAAGCTGTCGAGGGCCGGGGGTGTCCAAAAATCGAACAATGTACTGGCCTGTTACGAAACTACTAATCTGCCCAATCCACCAAAGTCCCTCCAAAGCTTTTATACCAAATGTGGGCTCCGACCGGCAAAACAGAAACATAGAAGCGAGCCAACCAAGTGTCACGCGAAACCAACTCGTACCCGAGAGCCATGAAACGTTCGGCCTGATTCCGAGCAAGTTCTCGGTGGCCGAAGCTATCCGAGCATTGCGATAAGCTCGGTTTCCTTGTATGCGCTGACTAGCGTTACCAGACCAGTCAAGCAAAATGTGTTTTTTGTATTCCTGCAAATCAGACTCCCTTTCCCACGACGGTGTCAACAAACCCATCCAATGAGTCAGGTACAAGACGGCTACCACACCACCGCGTCCACGTACAATTTGGTGTCCCGAAATATTCTCAACATCCAGACGACTAGACTCCGCTAAACTATCATCAGTAATCAAATTGTACGGGGGAGACTTGTTTCTATACGAGTGCAAAACATATTTCGACAGATTGGCCGGCATATACTTCGGCAGGCCATCCGTGTCGTATGGGTTGGTACACGGTTTGCACCGCAAGACTGAGACACGGTTACGGGATTCTGGTCCCAGCATGTCTGACGGCAGGTCCAAGTAGAGGAGTTTGCGCTCCACAGGTTTCCTATCCGGCGAATCCTCCGCTTTGGCCGGGCCAACAGCAAGGATCTTATACGGTCCGGTGTAGTGGAGCGAAAGCTTCGCTTTGGGCACCAAATCATCGGTGTGTTTCCGCACCACCCCCTGCCGAATAGTAGCGGCGGAGTTGTAGACCCAATAAGCCCAACCACCAACTTCGTACTTCGGGCTCTGACGCAGACCGTCCAACAGCGCAGAGTTCCGACGTTCGACGCGCGACACCGTAATCGCATGTCGTTCCCGCACCAACGCGTAAGCTCGTCTCTGGCGTTCCACCGCAAGATTGCAGAAAGCGAGCTGGTCTCGATCCAAACTTTGATGGCCACCCACGCTAGGGTGGTCCAAAACAGAAAGCGGGAGACGGGGCAACCGTCCAATATGCACTTCATTTGGCGCCAAACCTGTGGCGGTGTTTACCGAGTTGTTGTATGCAAACTCGACATGGGGAAGATGGACGTCCCAATCGTCCTGACGCTCATTGACTACAACAGCAAGCATTTGAGCCATGGTGTGGTTAACACGCTCGGCCCCACCGGTAGTTTGGGGGTGGTACGAACTGGTGGTGACTTTCTTGATCTTCATCAGCACGTAAATAGCCATGGACAACTTGGAACAAAATTGCATACCGTTATCCGAAAGAAGAGTCACCGGACAACCCCACAACGCCATGTAGCGGTTGACGAAAATGTTAGCCGTTCCCTTAGCGGTAAATTCTGCCTTGGTAGTGGCATACATATCCACCCGTCGACTGAAACGGTCCGTAAACAAAAGTATATATGCATTCCCACGGGACGTGACCGGCAATGGCCCAAAAAAATCGACGCTCACTACTCTCCCTTCTTCCCCTCGCTGCCTCGGCAAGGTTTTGCTTAGGCATGACCCAAAGCAAGGGGGGGGGTCTTTCTAGCGAGCAGGGCTAGACTCATCCTCAAGGGACCGATACCTTCTTGCTACGGCGCACCCGCCGCAAGGCGTGCGTAGTGGTGGAGTTGGGTCGGCACTGGTGCGTCAGGTACAAAGGTGCAGATGCGTGGGCCTCGAGGCCGTCGGTGCAGGCAGCAATGCCCATCTCATCTTTGTGCGCGGAGGCAGACGCCATCAGAAAGGTGGACGGGCACTATGTACACGGCCCTATGCTTGCTAGAGGGAGCTGTACTGTCTCAGTAACCTGGTTTTGCCATCAAATGAGGAGGGGACAGGTGGTGACGAGCTGACTGGGCTGGTTGACCCTTCGGCGCGAGAATTGTCAGAACAAGAACCCTAAGTGCAACGAGGGAGAAAGCGAGGAACCGACTGGGAAGGACAGCAACGAGAGCGTGTACGAAGCGGAGCGGGTCGAATTTGGTCGTGCTAGGACTGGCCACAGCGACACCGGAGAAGCGGCACCGGAGCAGCGGCACCAGAGCAGCAGCGGAACCGGAGCATGCGGACGGCATCGAACCGTGTCGCACGGACAAACATCTCTTGTGTTGTCAATTATTTTCCGTTTTTTTTTCCTGAATAGCTATAGGTGTTAGGTGTGTGTAATGACGTCACTGGTTTTGTAGAGAGACGCGGCAGAGATGGCGCGGATAACCCGGGTGCCTTAATTGTGTACCTGCATCGTGGAA